AAAAAAAAAAGGGAAATGAAATATTTTTTTCCCTATAGGAAGCAAAAATTCAATGTTAATCGTCCCGCCGGACACAGTTTAATCGTAATTGATGAAACAAACCTTTTTCTTTTTTATACGCTCCCGTTTACGATCTAAGCTTTCATATCTTCGTTTACATTGTATACCAGCAAAATCGTCCCGAGGAGCCAAGGAGGCGATTCCGGTCGTCCATGGCGATCCTCTCCTCGAAGCGTGGAGTGTTTGGATGCGCTTATTGTCTGGTTCTGATGTTGCTTTACTTGAGGATATGCGTTTCTTCCAGATCCGATCAGGAAACCAGGGAAAGGTTTTACGGGAATATTGTAAATATGTCGGCGCCGGAGTCTGGAGAAGCCAGTATAGCTAAAATCTTCGATAAGGTTCTTGAAAAAGAGTTCCCCGAGAATGATCAGCCGGAAGGTTAGCCTTTTCTCCGGTCCTTCTTCCATTTTTTTTTTTTTGTCTTTTTCAAAATAGCCATATATGAATCCTTTTTTTTTTTTTTTTTTTGTCTTTTTCAAAATAGCCATATATGAATCCGTTTGGATGCCGAGAAAACTTGGGAAAAGAACAGAAACAAACTGTCGATCTTGTTAGTCAGGGTCTCAAATGATTATATTTGCTCCATGCTCCTTTTTAGGAGGGATTGCGCACAAATCCTTTGGATACATTCTTGCATTGATGAAGTTATTATATTAATACATTCTTATATGTTTGATTACTCGTGTTGATGCTCAATGACTCATAAATCTCGTAATTGCCATATTGGTGATTATTATTTCAATTACCTGCTGATACTGATTCATATTAGATCAGATAAAGCATATAAATAAAGAAAATAAATTGCCTGTTCCATTTATCTAAGTTTTTTTGGAAGAGCTAGTGTGGTTTTGAGTTTTATTGTTCTTCATTTTAGTTTCTGCATATGGTGAAATATCTTGCAAATCTAGTCAACATTCTTGCTTAGGTTGATAAAATGCCTGTCCATGTGCTCTAGTTTTTGAGTTCAGGGTCCTAACAGCAGAGCTATGCTCAATTCTCTTTTTTGTGTTATGTCGTTTTTGCAACTGCTTATGATTTTCAATGATGTGTTAATGTACCATATGCTTCCTTTCTGGTCACTGATTGATTCCTTTTACTATCTATAACAAACGTTTAATTTGGTTCTTTTTTTTTTTTGTTTTGTTTACTTTCTCTAGCATCTGATGGAAGCAGCTTCAACAGTACTGTAGCTGATCAGCAAGTAGGTTTTGTTCTTATTTAAAGCCTATTGCTTCAAAGTGCAATTCTTAATCATTTTTGACACTAACAAGACATAGCAGTGAAGTTTCTCTTGAAAATTCAGAAAAGGAAGTCTTCTATGCATTTACCATTTACTCTATCTCTCCCTCTCTCCCTCCACCCCCAACCTATGCATATGGAAATGAACTTGGTAAAATTGGTGGTTTTTTGGTTTTTCAGCCTTTGGCCTGAGCTGAGGCATATAAGGCTATCAGCTTCAGAACATTATGCCATAATGTAGTAGCTACTAGGCTTTAAGAAACAAAGGAGAAACATTCCTTCCCAGTATCTTGCTTATGTACATCATTTATGTTGCCTAGTTGTTGAATCATGTGGTTGCTGCCTTTGCTCTTTAAATACAGCATGAAAAGTTAAGTTTTGCACATCATGCATATCAGAATCAGAATAGACTTCTAATATACAATTTCTCCCAGCTGGCAAATGTTTGATGTTGGTTTACTCTTTATACAACCTTCTTTCATCATTAATGCATTCTGTTAACTAGTATTTGTGTCTTTTTGTCATCAATGTTAAAGATGTGTCCTTATTATGCTGTTCAGGCTGTGCTGGAGACTGTAGCTAAAATCACTCACGAGAAGGGAAAGAAAAATGACACCCAAGAGGCAAAGTATGGGAATGTGTTCATTTTTTGGATAATTAATATGCATTGAGAATATATTAGATGAGCAGTGTTAGTGTTGCTTACTTGAACACTTTCCTTTAATCACACTCTCTCATTGGATCACATAACAATTAACTTGAGGTATTAAACTTGTAAGTTGTAGCTGGTAACATCAAGTTAGGGGGAAAAAAAAAAAAAAAAAGAAAGGAAGAAGAAGAAAAAAAAGGACAAATTTAATTGCTACATAGACCAATCAGAAAAGGAGTGTGGCTAGCACTCCTCATATTATAAATATATTGGAAAAGGATACGATGTCTTTCTTGTAGTTAAGACTAACATTTTATTGATGAAACTCTTTTAATCAGTGGCACAAGATCATTCCAGCTACAAGATGTCTTTTCCCTGGAAAATGAAGATTCTAATGATATGACTACCCTGATTGATAAAAAGGTATGCAAAAAAGTCAGTAATGGTGCGTGTGTGTGTGTAAAATCATTTTTGAAAGGTGTTATGGTAGGAAGTTTTTGCTTTTGATTTAAAAATTGAATTCCTTCTAACCTGGTTATGTTTTTACTGTTAGGATAATGTCTTTGTAATGTCGAATAAGAAATCCAAGTATCCAGTACTCCAAGTGGATTTGAGGTCAGTGGCTTTCTCTCCATAGCCAAAATTTATACAAAAATCCATCTATTGTTTGCAAATCCTGAAATGTTTGTTATACTGCAGTGCATAATTCTGGGAAAGAATCAGTTTTTTTGGCCTTTCTCTAGCATTATCATTGACCTTTTATTTTATATGCTGCATGATACTTATGTATTTTTTATCCTCCTGCAGATTAATTTCAGATTTGGTGGTAGTCATTGTTTTTGCTGCCATTGGTGGTATTGTCTTTTCATGTTTGGGACAACCGGTTTGTGTTCATCTAGAGCATTTATTTTGTGTTGATCTATATGTTCAGCATTAACAAAAGCCACTATTGCCTTTCTTTCATTTTGCTAAATTGGGAAATTTGCTAGGTTATTGTGGGCTATCTTCTAGCGGGTTCCATTATAGGACCAGGGGGCTTGAATTTCATCAGTGAAATGGTGCAGGTATGCTGCCTTAAATAACTCAAGATCCTTGTTTCTGAAAGTCAGAAGATGGTTTCCATCATAATATGCTTGATTGCTTACTTTTGTTCCTTTCACATTTTTTTGTACAAGCTAGTTAGCCCTATTGATCATGCTCTTACTTTGTTGATATACCATCATTAAGTTCATTATTCAATTTATAGTAAATTCCTGCCTCTTGTATTGAATCATATCGTCTTAAAGGAATTTTAGTTGTTTTCCTTGAAAACATGGGAAAAAATTTCAGCATATAGGGACTAATAACTCCCAAACTATATCTCCATGAAATTCATTTTTGGTGCCTTCTTCAGGAATTTGTGTGCAAAAATATTTACATGTAATCATTGTTTGTTGACACATCCTTTCTTTTTCTTACCATCATAGGTTGAGACTTTTGCTCAGTTTGGTGTTGTCTTCCTTCTTTTTGCCCTAGGGCTAGAGTTTTCTTTGACAAAGGTATGTCATACTCAACTTAGCAAGTTCTTACTTATTGGATTCTCTAACTTGCTTCAGTGCCTCTATTTATTTGGTAAATTACAAAACCTCCTTCTCAATGTAGTTACCATTACACACTTACCCCTCTCCCTCAATATTAATAAACCATGGAGTTTTCTCCTTGTCATGTGCATGCCATAAATTGTAGGGGGATGTTAAAAGACTAAATAGATTAGCAAAATTAGGAGAGCAGGTATAGGTTATCAAATAAATATTTTGAGTTAATTTTAGTTATTTTGTGCTTATTTTAAGCAAAACGGTTTAAACATATCCTTTATGCAGCTAAAAGTTGTGGGACCAGTGGCTGTTTTTGGAGGACTACTTCAAATTGTGATGTTCATGTTCTTGAGTGGTCTTACTGCCATGGTAAGGTGTAGTAGTCTTTGGTTTGGTTTTGCTAGATGTTTGACGTGATGGCTTCGGTAAGATGGATGCTAAACTTTGATATTTGTGAATTTTGCAGTTTTGTGGAGCAAAGTTGTCTGAGGGTGTATTTGTTGGCTCTTTCCTGTCAATGTCATCAACTGCAGTAGTATTTCTCTAGACTATTATTTATTCTAATATCTATTTGATGTATCCAATGTGATTCATGCTTAGCCTTTTATCTTCCAACCAGGTGGTGAAGTTTTTGGTGGAACGGAATTACAACAATTCTCTTCATGGTCAAGTTACCATTGGGACACTAATTTTTCAGGTTTGGTAACTAAAAATATTTAATAGTTCAGTGTTAACTTTTATATTGTAATTTCAAATTCCATTTCCAAACTAATTTTCTGATGCATGTATCACACTTTTACCTCTTTCTATTTTAGGATTGTGCTGTTGGTTTGCTATTTGCTTTGCTCCCAGTTTTGGGTGGGAACAGTGGCCTACTTCAAGGAGTGATTTCTATGGGAAAGTTGTAAGTTTATTTCTTTTCTTTCCGGGAACCTTTCCTCTTTTCCCCATTGTGATTGTCTTTTACTCTACCAAAACTGGTGATGCAAAGAAAAATTATAATTTCAAGCTATATGCTACAATAGAAGCTTGGATGTAGTCTGATTTTGGCTAAATGAATTGGAAAATTAAGTTTTTTTTAATCAATTTTAATCTGTTGAAGAATCGTGTTCCTGGGAAATTATCATCAGATATCATGCCAGAGCTTAGGAATAAATCATTTATAAAACAAATATTGAAAAGGGATAATGAAGACTAATATGGTTGGATTTAAAATTGGGGTAGCTGAAAACTAAAAGTAATCCAAACAATAAAGGAGTTTAATAAAGAATCAAGAATAACATGTCTGTTTACAGCACTAAGCTTCCCCCTAAAAGAAACAAATCTAGCCCAAATACCTGACCTGCTTTAGATATTCCATGCAAGATTACCAAATAACCCTCTTTTCTGAAATTATATCTGATAACTGTCAAAATCCCTTTGTTTTCGGCTCTTGCACAAACTGTTTTCTTAGCTTTTGGGCATTGTAGCAAGTGTAGTTTCAGAATTTTACACATCCAAGATTAATGTCAGGTTGGTGGTCTTATCCATATATCTGACCGTTGCATCTGTACTATCTTGGTCATTTGTTCCTCGCTTCCTAAAGCTAATGATGCAGATATCATCTCAAGTAAGTCCCGAACATATTCCATATGTTTCATATTGTGCTTTCTTAACCTCACTTCTGTCCATACTGGATTGACAAGGATGTTCCTCAGTAGTTCATTTTGGCTTAATTTTGATTTCCAGACAAATGAGCTTTATCAGCTTGCTGCTGTGGCTTTCTGCCTGCTGTCTGCTTGGGTAGGTCCCTATGTATTTATTGTTTCTGCTTCTTATTACATTTACATCAACTGTTCCTGTTATTGTCAATTTATTTATTTTTCACCTGATATACGTTTGTTGTTTGTTTTGAGTGGTAATCCAAGTAATAATTGAAAATTGAATATTTATTTGCATAAGAGGTGCCCAATGTAGTCGCCAACTGCAGTTAAGTAGTATAATTTGTGAGAGTAGTGTGCAAATCTTTTCTACTGAGAAAATGAGTTACCATTGTTAGTGTGTGGAAGACTTTTGACTTTGGTCAAACAATCATCTCTGTTTTCTGCCTATCTGCTAGTCATCCCTTGTTTTTTCCTCTCATTTTATTTTTGGTACATTTGTTAGGCAGATTACAACCTAACACCTCTCCCCCCAGAGTAGGTAAACTCACATTAGGCCAAAGCTTTGTAATTGTATAGTAGTGTCCCAATTATTTAATTCTTTATCAGGTCCTATTTGTTTATACTAGTTACTCTTGCTTTATCAAAGTTACATGTTAAACAAATCTGTGATCCTGTTTCTGCAAGTTCTATATGCTCTGTACTCTGTAGACATTATTTCACTACGGAAAACTCATGTAATGGGGTTTGCTTAAACTCTGTAAATTAGATTTTATTTTAGTTGGAAAATCTTAGGCTTCTGAGCATGCTTTAGACTGTAACATTGGCTGCTAATATATGGAATGTGGTGAACTTCTCTTTAAATTGTGTATTTTGGATTATAAAGAAAACAAAATTGATTTAATAGTGAAGTTAAATACAATGATTTGTTGCTCATTGTGTAATGCCGGCGTCATCTTTTTGATACTCTTGGACTTTCTACAAACTTCTCAGTGCAGTGATAAGCTGGGTCTCAGCCTTGAGCTGGGTTCATTTGTAGCTGGAGTTATGATATCTACCACTGACTTTGCAAAACATACTTTAGACCAGGTACTTTATACAGTTCTGGCTCTGATCATGCCTGAAGCTTTGACATTCATGTTGTTACTTTAAAGTTTGCCTGAAAAAATTCTATATCCTATTTCAGTTCCCAATTCAGCTTTTGAAACTTATGAAGATTTGCTATTTACTTTTGCTTAGTTTGGTCTGTCTTAACTCATCTATTTTAAGTTTTTGAAAATGTTAAAGAAATTCACATGCAAAAGGTCCATTTCTTCTTTATGTAATGAATATAAAAGGAGCACAATCCCTTTTGTCTCCAAAAAGTGCCCGTATTGTTTTCAGAATAATGAGCAAAAGGATTGCTAAACATTGGCTGTCCTCTCAATCCTTGGTATCTGCTACTGACCTACTGTTATTCTAACTCAAGTTCATTTTGGAAGGCAACTTTTGATATTATCTCTCTAGCCTCTCTTCTGTTGCCTTCATTGCTTTGCTAATTAAACTCATTCCTTGAGCAAGAGCAACCAAGTTTTCCTTGATTCTTAAAAGTAGTGGAAACATGAATGCAAGCATGGGGTCAAAGAATTTATTTTTCTAGACTATGGATTCAGGTAATTTTTATCCTCAAGAAGAAAAATGTGTCCTAGTTATTTCTCACTTTTGCTAAATTTCTCATCATGTTGTTTTGTGGCCTTAGCAACCTATTGCTAGATGTTTTGGTTTTATTTTCTTACTGTGAAGAAGAAATGCTTTATTTTGAACTTTTGCATGGTTAGAATGGTGCCCTGGAAATACAATGAGCTGTGCTCATGAGAAATAATTTTTGCATAGGGGTTTGGCTAAACTAGCTGTACTAATTTTCCAAAAAAACAAAGGCAGCATTACATGGATTGTAATATGTAAAAATTTCTATCATCATGGCAATGGAACCAATCTGTAACCTGTTTGCAGCCCTTTTTCTTTACATATTAAATGCTAACTTTGGAAATTGCAGGTGGAACCAATCCGTAACCTGTTTGCCGCCCTTTTTCTTTCTAGTATTGGGATGCTTATACATGTGCATTTTCTGTGGAATCATGTGGATATTCTGCTAGCAGCTGTTATTCTAGTTATTGTTGTGAAAACAGCTGTTGCTGTTGTGGTCGTGAAAGCCTTTGGATATAGTCTTAGGACATCATTCCATGTAAGTCTGTTTCATAACTTCATATCAAATATAATATATACTTGTTTTCATTTTATGTTATTAGGATCCTTACTCTCATTATATGTGAGATAGGTGGGAGTGTTGCTTGCTCAAATAGGAGAATTTGCTTTTGTTCTCCTAAGTCGTGCCTCAAATCTTCACCTTGTGGAGGTACGTTTCTCTCTCTCCCTCCTTCTGTCCCTCTCCACACACATATGCATGTTATCTTTCCATGTGTATAAATAAGTTATTTTTCATTTTTTGATTATTAATCTCCTTCACATTATCATCAATATATTCAAAATGTGTTTTACTGTGGTTATTGACTTAAATTTGGTTGATGCTAAAGGGAAAGATGTATCTTCTTCTTCTGGGGACAACAGCTCTTAGTCTGGTAGGTTTCTTATTATTATGTCTGCCTTTTATTTTCTTTGTTTTGTTCAATATATGACAGCGTATTATGACTGTGCAGGTAACAACACCTCTCTTATTCAAGTTGATACCTAACGTAATGAACTTGGGTGTTCTTCTGCGATGGTTTTCTGCAGAAAACAACTCCCAGAATGAGGTCTCTCTCTCTCTCTCTCTCCCTCTCCCTCCCTCCCTCTTTTGTGTCTGTGTTGTAGTCATAGTGGGCAGTATACTCATGAGCACAAAGGCATAGACTGCCCTTAAGGCATTGAATTACGCAACCAAATTTGAGCATGAACATAAAGATCACGTTTCTCACTTTTGTTAGCATCCTTTCCGTAACTGCCTTTTTTATTCTTAACTATGGAAGTCTGAAATATTTTCTGTTATTTCATAATATTCCTTTTTTAACAGGAGAAAACATCCATAATCGAAGCACACAACCGGTTATTATGATATTGCACCTTAATACAGTGGTAAGTCTACTTTTCTGACACCATTAGCTATGGATACACTTAAGAGCTCATTATCTAGGAAAATTGGGGCTTTACCCCTTTGCAGATACTACAATTTAGGTATTAGATAGGATGTCAAGATATCTGAGTTACGGTCAACTATAACAGTTAAATGTACATACATTTATGATATATTCTTCCTGTATATAATAATTTTTGTACCTAGGCCACTCCATGTTGTAATCCAAACAAGCTGGAATTTTCCATCACGGAAGCTGAGACACTGTATTTTTTCTTGATGGAACTGACAGTATTTGAGGGCTTTAAATTGAACATATAATTTTGAACTTCACTTCCCAGAACTTTGGCAGAGGAATTATTTCTGCGTGGAATAAACTTAACCAACACGTTTAAAGTAAGAAAAATGAATTTTCCATTTATTTACAAGGAAAGTGTGTGAATTGTGTGTCAACTTTCATTCAAAACAGCATCGTTTTGGTAACATACGTGTTATAAATTAGGGTGATTTTTATTTTTATTTTTATTCTAGGATCGGTTTTTAACTAGAGCTTATGCCCTAAATGATCAAAACTACTTTTTTATTAAAAAGAAAAATGAACATCAAAGGCATCACAATATTTAAAATATTAAAATTATTTGTGAGATTGTTTAAATATTTTAAATAATTTTTTTATATATTAATTTACTAAAAATATTTGAATATTTTCATTATTATTGATTTCAATTAACAAAACATTTTAATCTTTTTACCATCCCTGTATTTAAAACGGAATTGGCAAGCACCAACCCCTACTTTCAATTCTAAATTTATAAATCCTTTTTCGTGAGTTTTTCTATTTATATTTCCCTCCAATTTCCAAAGCGCAAGCATCTCCACCTGCTTTTTGTCCTTATTTTCTTTTATGCAAAAAGAAAAAACAAAAAGAAAAAGAGAAGTTCCAAGTTCAACTTTCAAGCTGTAAGTTTAAGTGGGCTTTGTCCTTTAACTGAGACCCTTAAAAGGCCCATGGTTTTCACGGGGGACCTGAATTAAATACTGAGTCTTTGTCGGCCGACACCAAAAACCAGATGAAGTTGAGATCTGATCAACGGTTCCGCTATTTCCACGTGGCTGTCAAGAAACCTAGATCATCAAAACGCTTAAAAAAACTCAAAAGAGGAACTGGAGATTTTGAGATCGTAACATAATTTATATATCTTTCTTTTTCTCACTCAGATAGTCAAATTAGTAGCTGTTAACCTGTTTCTAGGATTCAGATAATGGCGGAGCGAGCTGTCAAGCTTCGGTGCCAGAGAATCGGCTGCTTTGCTACCTTCACTGAAAACGACAACCCCGAAGGTTCCTGCACGTACCACGAGTCGGTATGCCCTCCGTTGATTCCTTCGTTGACACCTAATCCAAACGCCCAAAACTTCGATTTCTTGTAAATCGATTCCGATTTCCAAAAAATTGATCGCGTTTCTGTAGTAAGATACTAATTAGTGTAGCAGGAATAAGTAATTTTGGTTTCCGTGGGTAATCTGGTACCAATTTGAATGCCGGGCCTTAAAAAGGCTAAAATTGGCTCTAGATTTGGGTTATGGAGTAAGTTTTCCCGCTTTATTTTATGCAATTGTGTTGTTTAGGCATGCCTTCGCTGATTTTATGGATGGGTAATTGCTCAATTCTTGTTTCATCTTTTTTTTACTATTGATTGTAAAAGCTTATACTTTGTCTAAGTTAAGGGGGTGGTTTGTGAGAAAGCTGAGTTCTTTTTTTTCTACACTGTTTTATTTTTTATATTTTATTTTTCTCTGGTGGGTGATACTAATTTTGGTTATTATCTTACATGTGGGTTTGCTTTGGTTGTGGGGGCACATTCATGTCACCAGGGGGTAAGTGAGTTTTATTTCTTGTATATATATGTCTTTCCCTTCATGGGTATTGGTCACTGTTGTGCTGAGTAAGTTAAAGTTGGATGCTTTTTACAGCCTATATTCCATGATGGTATGAAAGAGTGGAGTTGTTGCAAACAAAGAAGTCATGATTTCAGCTTGTTCATGGAAATTCCTGGGTAAATATTTTTGTTTTTGTTCTTTGGGACTTATAGAATCCTGTTTGCTGTTTCTCAAAGTAAGAATAAAAAATTTGATAATTGAAGCATATCTTTTGGTAGTAAGAATTTCATTTTGATTTAAGTCAGCATGAACTAGCAATGCAGATTCACTGCAATATTACCTTTTTGATGGTCATGTAGCTTTTTTTCTTTTTTTCTTTTATCAGCGTATTGAAGCTGGTGGAATTGGCACACCGAACACTATTGGTAGTTAGCTTCCTTGCAAAGGATGAATTCCACTGCTTACTAGCAACTAATGTTTATATTCTATTTACCTTAATTCTTGACTAAAAGTACATAGTAGTTAGAAGTGCCTATTTTAGTTGTTAGCATTTGTAAATTGTGACTAATCAGGTTGATGATTCTAAGATAGCATCTTGTTTTGCTTGCATGAAGAGGCCCAACCACATCATGCTAAATATTTTATCTTCAGTTATCTAACTTACATCTAGTCAATGTTAGTTTCTCTAAGTTTTCTTGTATTAATGAAGATGTAAGTCAGGTAAACACACGACTGAGAAGCCAGTTTTGACAAAGCCAGCTGTTCCTGCAAAGAATCCAATTTCCACTCCTTCAGTTTCTGCCACCAATGCTCTATCAAAGGAATCTTGCTCTAGGTGCCGTCAGGGCTTCTTTTGCTCAGATCATGGTACTGTCAGTTGCATGCTCTTACTTATTTAGTGTCTTAGAGATGAGCTGTGATATATTTTCTAATGCCTGCTTGCTGTACTCAGATAGTACACCAACATGATTGATGAGGTTATATATATA